TATAGACATGACACACTTTTAATCTGCGTTGTTAACATTTTCTCTACCAGTATTTTAAGTTTAGACGATCAACAAAACAATAAATAAAACCTTGATTTGTAGCATTTGTAAATACTCCCACCATGGACAATTCCAAGCTAACAGAACATAGAATTGGGAAGAGATATACAACAGCACACCATTAGAGTAGTGTTTCCACCATAGAGGTACGAACAACAGCTTGCAAAATTTCTGAAAACCTCCCAGCCTGTTCTCTCTGGAATCAGTTCTAGCTGGCTCCAGCATAGTACTGATTCTGATTCTACCTCATTTTTCTAGAACTGTCGCTTGCAGTTTACCAACTGGAGGGTCACCTGGAGAAACTGCTTTGTTAAAACCAAAAAAGAAAAAAAAAAAGAAAGAAAAAAGAACAGACCTCAAGTATATTAATGCAAAGTTAGCTATGACTAAATCAGCTTGTCATGTAAATTTTCCAGCTTAACAAATGACAACATTCTCAAAACTTGGCTTTGAATATCCTCTAAAATAGTGCTCATTCTCAAGTGTCTAGGATCTAGGATCAATGATAAGATTCTCAGTAATAATATGGCCCTGTGGCATTTTCCCTCTTGTGGCCAAACTAACATAAAATATGGGTCATGGAATCAGTGAACGCCAGTGCAGGAGGCAGCCTTCAAATTCAGCTAGCCCGGCTACTTTGATTCTTCAAATGAACGGAATCCAGAGAGGTTAATTTTACTTTTCCAAGTCAGAGAAGCAAAGCTGATATCAAGACCTAAGTTTTCAATTGTAAAATAGTTTCTGTGTGCTAATTTCCCCCCCTCAAGTGCAAGATGAGATCATTGTGGTAAATGTACTCAGACTTCTCTTGCTTTGGGATAAGTGGGTGCCTTGAGTAACACTGTTTTGGGGAGAACCATTGTTAAGCTGTAGAAAAGAAACCTCTGGGTGTACTTATGAGTTATAGCACTAGGGTGGTTGCGGATTCCCCCCCCCCCCATTTCATTATACTGTTACCATAATTCTTTTTTTTAAAATATTTTTTAATGTTTTATTTATTTCTGAGGGAGAGAGAGAGAGAGAGACAGCGTGAGCAGGGAAGGGTCAGAGAGAGAGGGAGACACAGAATCTGAAACAGGCTCCAGGCTCTGAGCTGTCAGCAGAGCCCGACACGGGGCTCGAACCCACGAACTGTGAGATCATGACCTGAGCTGAAGTCGGACGCTTAACCGACTGAGCCACCCAGGTGCCCCAATTCTTTTTTCTTTTAAGTTTTTTTTGTTTTGGGAGAGAGTGGGAAAGCAGGGCAGGAGCAAAGATCTTGAGAGGGAGAGAGAGGATCCCAAGCAGGCTCCACGCTGTCAGCACAGAACCCAATGCAGGGCTCGAACTCTTGAACTGTGAGATCATAACCTGGGTCAAAACCAAGAGGTGGACGCTTAACCGACTGAGTCACCCAGGCGCCCCTGCCATAATTCTTCTAAGGCACAGATCTAGTCATTCCAAGAGCACTTACTCACAAATTAATAGCAAGTGAACGGGGTAAGTCTTGCGTTAAACCAGCCAATCCTCAAGCACATTTCAGAGTTAAGAACGTATTTTATACCTTGATCTGAGAGTGAAAAATCCCAGGTTCTTGAGAACTACTAGAGGCAGAAAATTCCCTCAGAAAATGGGCTGTCGGCCAATCTCAATGGACTGCTGAAAATATCCCTTGTGAGTGGACAGTTTCTTTCCTCTTCCCTGGACAAGTCTGCAACACCATGTCTCTTTCTTTCCTCTTTCTTTTTCTTTTTAAGTAATACGAACCTACAATCTCTTATCTGAAACGCCTGGGGCCAGCTGTGTGTGGAATTCAGAACTTTTCAGTTTTTAGAATGGTAACAGAGCGAGTATACTGAGTCACTCCCAGTGGGGTCTGGGGTAATACTCCATAATCAAGCACATTTATAATTTGTAGTAAAATATTATGATTCATATGAAGTGGGATAAATAAGACTATAAACAGCTTCATGTCAGTTCATCTCAGGTCAATTTTACCAGTTAGGCTTTCTATTTTTTATTTATTTAAAATATTTTTAAAATGTTTCTTTACTTTGGAGAGAGAGAGAGAGAGAGAACATGAGCAGGGGAGGGGCAGAAAGAGAAGACAGACTCTAAAGCAGGCTCCAGACTCCCAAGCTGTTAGCACAGAGCCTGACATGAGGCTTGAACCCACAAACCGCGAGATCATGACCTAAGCTGGAGTCTGACTGAGCTACCCAGGCACCCCACCGCTAAGGTTTTTTAAAACATTAGGTGTACGGGGCTATTTAGAACTTTTGGGGGGTGAAAGTTCTTGATAAGGAATACAGACCTTTAATGATGTTATTGGCAAGTCTTTCCTTCGTTCAGTAAAAAAAAAAAAATCTGTGTGTGTAAGGTTTTCTCGATTCACGTTCAACTTTTATTAATATTTGTAGGAAACTGCTCATTCTCGTTATATTAATCACAGAGGCACGTTAGCTGTGTGTTGCTCGGATCTTGTTGTAATTCCCAGCTTGTGCACAGGGCAAGGTTTTCTGCGATTCTCAGGGGTGTCTGTGAGAGTACACTGCTTTCGTGTCTGTCACAGCGCCATCTTTGTACACCAGTGGACTTGGCAATGAGTCGCTTCCCACCAGCCCTCCCATCCACCTGTTCAGTGCACTGCAGCTTTGCAATTTTATTTTTGTGGCTACTAACGTTTCCTGTAAAAATACCTGAAAAGGTATATTAAACTACTGGAAACAAGAAAAGGAGTTGCCTAGAGAGAGAGAGAGAGCAGAGACACACACGCTCAACTTTGTCCTTGTAAAAGTAGTTTTGATCAGTCTGGTTAATGCTGTACTAGATGCCAAGGAAAAACACAACTTCCTCCTCTTAAATCCTCACAGCCTGATGGATACTAGTCCTCTAAAAATCAAGACTTGAAAAATTATCTAGAATATTCTCCGGTGTCAACAGAGAGCAGAACAAAAGCTGTAGCTGGAAAACCAGCGAGGAGGAAAACGGAGTCGGCCGGGTGTAGGGGAGGATGTATTAATATAAATATGTACAGGACTTGGATTATAGACGTAGTAGCATAGAGAGGAAACCCACCAAAGACAACAGAAGCGCGGAAACACCTAAAAGAAGGATAGAAGCGGAGATGCTAGTTTTAAAAACCGTAACTCACTGCCTAGTGCCGCGATAAAAGCATTCCGCTAATACGACTATTTCAGAGAGTGCAATTTCACATGCAATGCTAACTAAAATACCAAAGGCCATACATAACGTCTGACCCACGCTGCCATCTCATATAGCAAATTCTTACATGGGAGCTTAAAAAAGATTGTTTGACTGGTCCACTGTCCTGCAACCGCAGGAGCCTGCTTTGTCTGACATATTGAATTTCCAATGTCTCTCACACTTCCTCCTTTTAAGATGCACAAAAGGTTTTTGTAAAGTTTCTCTTGCTTTTATTGCCGGCAGCTACAGAAACCATGCCGCACGCCTGGCCCAGAGTTATAGGCTGTGATTTCATCTGACTAGTGTCTTCAGAGCTTCTGGATTTTTAAAAAATAACCCTTAAAGTTTCCTTAAGAGCTGTTACATGAAAATCTGGACTAATTCAAACTGTGTGCGGAAGCAGTTCTGCACGAAGGCCGCTTGCCATTGTTGCGTGTCCTCCCTGAACCCCTAGGAAAAGCAGCTGGGCCCCAGGTTCGCACCCACGCCCTGGGGTCCCTCCACTCCCGCAGGAATTCCACTTGAGGGCGTTCGGTTATCTCCCCAGGGTGGGTCCCGGCCTGATCTCTACAGCTCTTTCCAACCAACAGAAGGATCTAGGCTCGGAAAGCTTTAGGGAACACGATCGGGACATTTACCAGGGGCCTGTGAGCCGTGCAGCGTCCTGACTTCCGAGTCGGCGGGCCCCGAGTTTGAATCCCGGGCCGCCCCCGGGGGGCCTTCACGGTGTGCTCTGGGGCGGCGTGTTCTAGATAAAGCAAATAACCCTCGCGTTACATGCCTCGCGAGGCTGTGAGGATTAGGTGACCTTACGTAGGGCACGCGAGCATCACCGTAGGGTCATTTCTTGTTACTGTTAACCGAGCCCCCAAACTGGCGGCGGGGGGGGGTGGGGTGCGGAGTCGGCCCCGCGGGGCGCGGGAGGCATCCCGGCGCGGGGTGCGGGCCGGGGCGGAGCGCGGCGTCCGGCAGGGGGCGGGCTCCTCATACTTTCTCCCTCGCCCGGACGGGCATTCCCCGCGGTTTTGGGGGGGGGGTCCCCAAGGAAGGTTCCTAGCGCCGGGTAGAGGAGGGTCCAGAGGGGTAGGCTGTGGTCGGGCCCAGAAAGGTGAGACGCAGCCCCGCGTGCCCGCCAGGCCCGGGGGGGGGGGTGGGGAGCGGGGCGCGCCCTCGAACCCCGGCGCGCGGCGCGGGGCCCGAACGCCGAGACAATGCGGCGCGCGGCGGCGGGCGAGCGGCTCGGCGGGCAGGGCGCGCGCCGCCTTCCTTCCTGCAGGCTCTGCTTCCCGGCGGCGGCGGCGGCGGCGGCGGCGAGCGCGCGGATTGGCGGCCCGGCCCTCCGCGCCGCCCCGCCCCGCGCTCGGCCGGCCGCCGCCCCCGGCCCGGACCCGCCCCTCTCCGCGGGAGTCGCTCGGGGCCCGCGGCTCGGTGGCCGGCAGTTCCCGCCGGCTCTGCGCGTCCGCCTCGGGGCTCGCTCGGGAGCGCAGGCGGCGGAGCCCTCGGCGCGGCGGGCGGACCGGCCGGGCCCGAGCTGCGCGGGGCTGCGCGCGCGCGGCCCCCTGCTCCCGCCGCCGGGCCCCGCGGGCGGCCGACCCGCGCCCTGCGGCGGCTCCTGCTGCGGCGGCCCGCGCCCCGGCGCCTCCCTTTGTCCGCGGGCCGGGCGAGCTGCGGGCGCGGCGGCGGCGGCGGCGGCGGCGTCCGAGCGGCCGGTCGGAGCCCGCGCGGCGGCTGAGGCGGCGGCTCCCCCGCGGCCGGCCGCCCGCGCCCGCGCGCCGAGGCGATGCCGGACCAGATCACCGTGTCGGAATTCGTGGCCGAGACCCATGAGGACTACAAGGCGCCCACGGCCTCGAGCTTCACCACGCGCACGGCGCAGTGCCGGAACACGGTGGCGGCCATCGAGGAGGTGAGCGGCGCCGGGCGGCGGCGGGGGCGGGCGGCCCGGGCCTCAGGTGGCGTCGCGCCCTGCCCGCCGCCGCCGCCCCTGCCCCTCGCGCCCGCACCCGGGGAAAAGTTTCTTTTCCTCCACAGCGGCCGCGGCCGGGCCGCCCCTGCCCGACACAGAAGCCCTTTGTTCCGTGTAGGTGGCTCCGAGGACATGGCCGATGGCTACCTTGGGCCCTTTTAAGACTCCCCCCTCCCCTCTCGCCGCCCTCGTTTCCTTCTGGGGAGGGGGGCCTGGGCCGGGCGGTTCCCCGCAGCGCGGCCAACTTTGGCCCGGAAGGCGGGGTGGGCGCTGAGCGGGGACCCCCGCGCCCGCCGCCGCCGGGGTGGTGGGCTCGCCGGCGTTCACCGGGCGCCCAGCTCCCGCTTGTTCTGGAAGGTTCCGCTGCCCGCAGCCTGCCCCGCTGCAGCCCTGGCCCCCTGTGCCTGACCCTCGGGTGGGCGGGAGGACCGCGGGTGGGCGGGAAGGTGTGCACCCCTCAGCCGGGAAGGCCCGACCGCCTTCCGCCCCGCACCCGGCAGCCGAGTGCGCGGAGCTGAGCGCCGAGCCGGGGCTTATGGTCCTTACACCCGTGGTAGCCGGGCCCCCAGTTGCGTGGGTCTCACCGCCAACCCCTGATCGCCTCCCTCCCCATCAGCCTGGAAAAGGCCTGATTTTAATGAAGGGCTTTCAAGGTGCAAAGTCATCCCGCCTAGTGCTAACTGGTAAGCCCTCCACATGCTGCGGAGAGAACCCTTAGGGATGAACCAGCGCAGGTTGACAATCAAAGCGGCGTGCGTTGAAGGGCAGAGTTTGGGAGTCCAGGGCCCCCTGCTGCTGTGTGGTTGGGGCAGCTCCTCGCCCCTCGGCCCTCATTTTCCTTACCTAGCAAACGGGAGTCATAAATACATCCTTTCCCGGGTGATTATGAGGGTCAGAGACGCGGTGTGTAAGGTGCTTAGCACACTGCCTGGCTCATAATAGGTAACCCGTGTGCAGGCCACACGTGTGCCAGTATAGAAAGATGATTAAATTTCTCTTGGCCCGAATGTCAAATTACAGCCTTAAAATGGGGGTATTGCAGGCATTTTAGAAGAAGATGATTGGTCTAGAGTGAGTGAGGGGAGGTCACTGCAGAGCTTTTAATTAAGGGGTGCCATTAATTTTTTTGCCCACTTTGAGCAAAGCATCTGCTGTTAGGAATTGCTTGGGAGGGGGGGAATCCAGAATGTTTCTCTTAATGGGAATTTATGTTTTTGTAGACATAAACAGTTACAAGTCATAAATTTAACATTCTGAATGTCTTAGGTATAGCTAGGGCACCCTCCCACCTCCCTCCTTTCTTCTCTCCTTTTTTTGGTGGAGATGGGCTGCATGTAAATCTTTCCGTCTACTTATGTCAGCAAGGCTTAAAAAGGATGGCTTCAAATTGGGGGGGAAAAAAAAGATGGCTTTAAATGAGGCAGATGGAGATGACCCAAAGAAGTTTTTTCAGAAGTACTGGTTGAAAAGCAAGGGGAACATTTCCATCATATTTTGAGAATACACCATTAATGATGTCTATTGCAACCAAAAAGTAGCTTGAGTGTTTCTTTAGGGAAGGAAGCCTTGTACTCGATGCCTTAAAGAAGACTTGATGATACGTGAAGTTCTGTTTCTTTTCTCCACTGCAGTTTGTCAGTTAAACATTATTAACACTGGCAGATGCTGGAGAGTTAGGCAAATAGGAGTTGCTCTTAAAATTGGCATACCCTTCCTCTGATTAATTTTTGTTTGCAGTGTATAAGTTCCAGAGCTTTTTTTGTATGCTGTGCAGGAGATTACCCGAGAGCTCAGTTGCTGAGCAGATTAAAGAGAGACTGGATTTGGTCATTTTATTAAACTGCAAGCTAGCTTCATGTTGCCGTCAAAGCACATGGATTGGTTAAACTTTCAAAAATGAAAAAATTGAAATCATTACAAGTCAGTCGTCTTCAATTTTTAAAATTTATTTTGAGAGAGAGAGAGAGAGAGAGAGAGAGAATCCCAATTAGACTCTGTGCTGTCAGCACAGAGCGCAGCACAGGGCTCAAACGCATGAACCATGAAATCATGACCCGAGTCAGACGCTCAGTGGACTTAGCCGCCCAGTTGCCCCAGGTCTGTCTTCACGTTAAGCAAATCCACTGTTCATACTATGATACGAAATATGTGCATTTGGCTTTTTAAAAAACGTTTATTTATTTTGAGAGAGGGAGGGGCCAAGAGAGAGGATCCCAAGCAGGCTCCGCTAACCTGATGAGGGGCTTGATCTCACAAACTGAAAGACCATGACCCAAGCCAAAGACAGACGCTTTAAGTGATTGAGCCACCCAGACTCTCTCTGAGTTTGGATTTAGAGATAACTAGATCTGAGAGGTGTTTACTCCCTGAGGAATCACTGTGGATTCCTTCAAATAATGCTCTTCCTGGGCATGTAATGTTCATTCCCTTTTCTAAAACTTGTTCCAAATACAGTTTTATTAAGTGACGCCCACATGTTTTGTTTTTCAAAAAGCATCTACTTTTCATACCAAAGTGAGGCAAAGTGTGACTCTTGTGATGTAAGTTACTCATGTAATGCAAATAAAATAAATTTAAAATTTGCAAGCCCTGTTCTTGTGTTTAAATAAATGAGTCATGGGATTAGCAAACTAATTTTAAACCAGTAAGCCTTTGTGAACCTGTTATTTCCAATATAGGTTGTGTCTGATAAAAATCGTTTTACAAATGAAATGTACTTTTCGGATACATAACACCTGTAGCTGGTCTATTAGTAGCTGTTGGGTCCCTACCCTGTACTATGAACGTCACATCTGTTGTATTTATTTCTTATCGCTGCCTTATACATGAGGAAATTGAGGCTCAGAAAGGGTAATTTGTTCAAGGTTATAGAGCCTAGTAAGTTGAAGAGCTGGAATTGAACTTGGCTCCATGTTGTTTTCAGAAGTGTTGCTGTTTTTTAAGGTGATTTTTAGGTAATCTGTACACCTAGCGTAGGGCTCTCGAACTTACAACCTTGAGACTGGGAGTTGAGATCAAGAGTCACGCTCCACGACAGAGCCAGTCAGGCGCCCCCCGTTTTCTGTTACTTTTAGTAATGCTGAATTCTCTGATTCCCTCATTTGTTGGACAGATATGGGTTCAAGTTCAGACTCCACCATTTCCCCATTGTGTGACCTTGGGTGAGATACGTAATGTTTTCTTAGTTTTCTCAGCACTAAGTTCTGGAAAACAGTACCTCTCTACTTCAGAGAGTGGTGGGAACAATTTAATGAGATAATATACATCGCAGTATCTGCCAGACACCTGGGTTAGTAAATACTAGCTGCTTGACAGACTATATCAGACTTAATCCATAGAACGTGTTGAGGGCTTTGGCACCAACATCAGTTTACGTGGGGGTTGGGTAAGAAGATAGAGGAAATGGATGAATGGTTGAATGAGTGAAGTGAATGAAAAACTATTTGTTAACCCATGCTTGTTTTTTTAACCAGTGTGTTGTCTCGGCAGCAGGTCAGCACATAGCTGTTTTAAAATCCTTGCCTGGTGATCATTTTTCTGGGTGAAGTAATTATTGTACACATTTTTAGCAAAATCTGCTACAACTGGGTGGAATCTGCTGTTTTTTGGATATTATGGAAAAAAATAAGTAGTTGTGGCACACCTCTGAAAAGTGAGCTTCCCACCCCCCCTTTTTTTGGGGGGGGTTACTTCTGTCTCCGTTTCTTTGAGTCTCTAGGCACTTTGAAATATTTTTGGAATAAGAAAAAATTGTATACATACTTGGAATATTCACACTGATAGTTAAACCCTCCTGTAAAGTGCCATCCATGCTGCCTTGCTTATTTGGCTTTGTTAGACGTGTACTTTTAAAAATTAGATGTGTACTTTTAAAAATAAATTTGTCGTTGACTTGTAAGTATTAAAATTTAATCTGTTTCCTTCTGGGGTCATAATTCTCTACTCTGTTGTCCTGGGTTACCTTGGAAATCTAATTGCTGTCACAAGCACAGGGTTCTAACTGCGGGGGTAAAATGAGCATCTGGGCTGCACGGACTCCCAGGGGCCTTCCCGTCCTTGGGGCTCCCAGCGGTGACAGCGGGAACCTGGCCAATGTGCTTTTTCGGCAAGAATGTGATTCTGAACCTCAGCCCTTTGTGAAGAGGGCTCTTCCAGATCCCCGGCCAGCAGAGTTTGCATCTGCTACCGGAAGGACATCATCTTTTCTTGCCTGTGCGTTTGTGTTTTGGGAAATGAGGTCCTCTGGTCAAACAGGGCCACCTTAGTTATGCTGTGTTCTGAAACCTGGACTTAACATGTTTGGAAGTTTTTGAGTCATTTAAGGAGGAACGATTTTCTCTTGTTATGTAACTCTCCCTCCCACTCATAGTTGTCTCCCCTCTTTCTTGTGATTAACGGTAAACACACTGATGCTACTCCCAGTCTGTCCCAGGCTCTGTCATTCATGCAGTATTTATTGCGTCCGCTGTGTGCTAGGTGATGGGAATAGAATACCAATGGAGTTAGTTCCCTCTTTGAAAGAACCTACAACTTAGGGGGAGAGGCAGGCATCCTGTAAACAAATCAGCGTAATAAACCAAGTCAGTGTGAGGGCTGGGCCTGGAAGATCATCCAGAATCACGGATGCCTAGGGATGGCATGGGTCAGGGGTGCCTGCAGCTGTGGGGAGGAGCTCTGTGGGTTACCACATGCTTTAGTCACTAAAGTGTCTCAGAATGACCTCCTGGGTCTGTCTTCCTGCCCTAGGTCAGTATTGATCCATTCCTGAGGTGATGCCAACTCAGCCTCTGATAGGGTCCTCATGGCGTCCCAGCTGCAGAGGCCGCGCAGGCCAAGGATTTGGGGGGGATTCTTAATTCTTTTCTTACGCTCCACATTTCTAGGAATTGGTGCCTTCATGGAGCATACATATTCTAAGTCTGTATTAATATGGTAGTCTA